GGACTTAGCGCATGATTTCGTTAAAAACAAAATATGGTTTCCTACACAACTCGACACGGGCTACAAAACTAGCATGATTAAATCGTGCCTGCAGAAGGTCGTGTATAAAGTGGGCGGACCTCCGTGAAAGCACCCCTATACTAAGCAAGGTAAGACTTTAATTTTATGAATCTTATGCCTTCTTCGGTTGTATTTGATTATCAACTACCAGAGGTGTGCAAATACGGATAGAACTTGCATCAATAAAAGACCAACATGTATCTTAAAACGAAAGCTCGAATTTCCGGAATCATGTAACGGCATGTTGCGACTGTACGCATCCCTCGCGGCATACACGTGTATCCAGCAATGCATGGAGTTGTTATATGATTTTACAGACTGTTGCATGGTTTCAGAAATTCGAGCTTTCGTTTTAGAACAAAAAGCGGTCTTTATGCGATACAAGTTATATCTGCATTTTAGGCACTCCTTCCTATTACAGCTTATCTTTCCGTTTGTTTCAATCCGAAATCTCCCCAAATTGTTCTAAGACAGTCTTTACTACGGCCAGATATGGTCGCAAATAGCTTTATATAAAAATTTATACTACTGTTGTACGCCGTTTACCACTGTAAATCGACGCCAGCTGTTATTTTATCATGCGGCGCATTACTACTGTATTTTTCCGTGCCGAGAATGGCGGATGCCAGACGTAATGAGGTCCGAAAAATTCCGTATACGATCATTTACAGTCACTTCAGAAATGTTGAAAAACTGCCGTAATTCACTGTAAAAAAGAAGGATCTACCCCTACACCCGCAAAAAAGGTTGGGCAGATTTGAAGTAGCATCTAAATGACTCGAACTGCTGAGAAAACGGCTCTTCAGTTCTACAGAACTTTTAGAGGTTCTTTTTCTGGGCACACTCTCCAAGCCTTCTGCTACGGATACCTTTTTTAAGTTCGGCCGCTCAAAACAGGTTTCGTAACCAAATAGTAAACCTTTGTAGTTTTGTATTGAAGCTCGGTGGTTTCGTACTAAACTCTAGCGGTTTTATATAGGCTTCATACAAAGCTGTAAAGGTTTTGTATTTTGCGACGAAACCTGTTTTGTGCAGTCGAACTTAAAAAAGGGTTCCGTAGGAGTGTTAGGATCCGTTACAATCGAGACGATGAAAAGAAGGAAGTCGGGTTAGGCTCTCTTCGAGCTACGATCGTTCGACCACCTTTTATTAAGGATAAACAACTCGAAAACAAAAAAAACATATATGTACATAAAAGACCAATAGAAGAGAGACAAGAGAGACGAAGGATCGTTCAACTATTATAATAGATGGCGATCCTGACACCTCCCCCCATACTAGGCTAAAGAAAAATGTCAAGTGGTAATAATTGTTCATATAATTGTTGTTCGTCTTGCGATTTAATTCCAATATGCATGACAGATTTATTAGGTGTAACATTGGTGAACTTGATTTGATAATGGCGAAGTATATGTTTGACTGTATTGACACAAAGGTTTGATTGGCGTTGTAATTCAAATCGATATCGGTTTCGTCGGTGTCGTAGACTTGATTCTTGATTTCGATATGTACGAGCTTCACGAGATCTTCTAGATTTTCTTTTTCGTTTTGGTGGATTTGTTGGTATATCCTGGGATGAAATTGCAGCAACTAGAGATGGAATAACATCTTGTGATGGAAAATGAACTTGTTGTTCGACTAATAATGTTGCATGTGATGGGAGAAGACCTATTGTTGTTAATTGTTCAATCGATGAATGATCATTTGTTATTGGTGAATTGTTTAATAAATGTTCATCTTGTGTTGGTGGTGATGGTAATGCCAGAGGAGTAGATGATGGTACTTGACGATCATCAACTACATGACCAGCCAACTCATCATCATCATCCTCACTTTCTGTATCATGAAATAACAAATCATACCATTTTTGTTGTTGTTGTAATTGTTTTGGTGCTGAAAAAGAAGAAGAAACTGAAGGTGCAAATTCTTTCTTTAATAAAAGAAAGTACTCCCCAAGTGATGTATTGATGTTGACATTCGAGGCGTTGTACATAAACATAATGATTTCATTTAATGATAATACATCATTCGAAGCATATCTAATTAAATTATTTCGCTGTCGTATTGGTACATGTGGAATTGTATTTTGCAGACGAGGATCCAGACCAATAGACCATTTTTGATGTGTTTCTCTTTTAGATAAATATTTTTCTAAAAGATAAACAACTGCGTCTTGAAGGCTCCATAAATTACGGGTAGTCATTTTTTGTTCGTTGAAGATATGCGGTGGAAGTAATAATGCTGGATCGTAACGTGGTGCATGTAGTTGTAGATAATNGTGTTTCTCTTTTAGATAAATATTTTTCTAAAAGATAAACAACTGCGTCTTGAAGGCTCCATAAATTACGGGTAGTCATTTTTTGTTCGTTGAAGATATGCGGTGGAAGTAATAATGCTGGATCGTAACGTGGTGCATGTAGTTGTAGATAATTTTCATCATTAATGTTTGGCGTTTGAGAATTGATCCATCTGTTGAACCAAGATGCAAAAATAAGTTGTACATTATGAAAATGTTGGACATTTGATATTGAAAATAATGAAAATTCCAAAAATG